AAATAAAGAAAAAAAAGGATCTCGTTACACATGTCTTCATCATTTTTAAGTATTACAAATTAATGTTTTTGTTTTGGGAAAGGGGACAAGGCTGGATCTGATGTCATGGCTACTTACATGGCAAATTCTTTACTCCTCATCTTTATGGCTTTGATTACATGCATTGTGCAGATGCCAATTCATCGAATGGGTTCAAATGACCCACGCTGGTCTGAGGTTCCAGGGTTGCCCAAGATAGTTCTGTCCAATGCACTCTGTTGTCTAGTCTTCTGCTAATACTGGAGATACAAGAATATTCATTAAACTCACTTTGGAAATGGCTGGACAGTTTGTGAGAGAGGGACTCCAAATCTAGCCACGGTAATATTCCCACTCAAGTAATAATAGTACAGGAAAGCACTGAGAACGATGATTATAGTCAGGGTATTACTCAGCTTTGGTTTCCAAGACAGTCTTCTCAGTGTGATTCCATGAAGGCAAATCAAACTCGGAGTAGTGGAGCCTTTGGAAGGATTATAGGCAGTCCTTTTAAGTTGAAAGTCAATTTAAATTACATACCCTTTAATCTTATATTCTCTACACAAGCAGCCCAGAACCACTTTAAAATAAATTCTCCTCCTTAAGATTTCTTGGTGAATGTGAATGTGGCCCCCAATTTTGTGGGTGGTTACATCTGAATTTTTTTTTAAATGTCTGATCATTGAATTTTTTCACAACATCTTATGGGCAGGTATTTTTCTTTTCTTTCACCATTATACTTGGTAATTTTGCTAACTAATTATTTGAATATACTTATATTCTTTTGGGAAGTTGAGAATACCTCGGCCGGGCGTGGTGGCTCACGCCTGTAATCCAAGCACCTTGGAGGCCAAGGCGGGCAGATCACCTGAGGTCGGGAGTTCAAAACCAGCCTGACCAACATGGTGAAACCCCGTCTTAAAAAAAAAAAAAAGTGAATACCTCAATGTTGGACATCCTTAAATTTCGACAAGGTCTAAATTCAATTTTGCTGTTGTCTTCATCCCTAAAAATGTAATTTAATGCTCAGCGTCTGAAATTTGATTAATATGCTTTCATATTATAAGTTAAATATTGCTCTTTATAGAGGCCTAAAATTGAATTTTTTAAATTCCTAGCTGAATTACTTTCATAACTTCAGACATCAGCTATCTCCACCAACCCCATAATTTGGGGGAATGAGACTAGGGCATGAAAGTAGAATTAAAAGTATTCCAATTGTCTCAATTATAGTAGGGTAGAAGAGAGGGAGAAAGTAAACATTTTGTAAAAGCCTTACCTTTTTCGTAATAGAGATGAAACACGACCCAAAAAAGAAATTTTATTGTGAGAAAAAGTATTTATTGTTGGGAACATTATCTTTATTGAAATTAAAATTTTAGTAATGATAGAGGCAAAAAAAATTCCCTCACATTACTCCTGAGAATATAATTTGAAAACAATCTTTCTGGAGTGAGATTTTTAACAAACAGTTAAGTGTTGTATGGACCTTGATATATACATTCGTTTTGGGAATCTATCCTAATGATTTTACCAAAACTGTGTTTGCTTCTAATGGGAGTGAATATGCAGTCCTCCACTCAGGTTGCAGAATGGGTACTATTGCAGTCTTTAGCCTAAGACCCAAATTAACAGGCTTACTGTATCTTCAGGTTTGTGAAATCCTAAATGTTCTCTTTTTGATCAAGTGACAATATGCTCTCAGCAACAGCCACAGCAGGGAGAGAAAAATAGGTTCCAGGATCAGCTGGGCACTGTGGCAGGGCCTCTGCAAGCAGTGGGCTAAAGGGGAAGGCATTAGAATTGGGGTAGTGCCTCAGGGTTGCAGAAGAGGGGAAACACTGAAGTGAGTGTCAGGGGGCAGAATGGATTTGGTGACTATCTGTTAAGGACCAGTAAGAGAGTGGGTATGAAGAGGACTGGGGACGAGAGAAAGAAATTGGTACAACCGTCAAAAGGGCCAAAAGCAGCTGTGTATGAGGAAGAGAAGGAGCTCAGTTCTGGGCTGGCAGCTACAGAATCATGCCAGGCAGCCTTCTGTGAACCATGTTCTCCATCATCATAAAGTCAGGGATTATTTATGCACATAAAGTCCAGGTACTTTCAGCATGAGGTCTGTGATGAGCTGCAGTGGTGGTAAGACAGAGGGACTTTGATTGCCCTCACCATGTTTTTTTTGGGGGGGAGGGGGGAGGAGGTTTCACCATGTTGGTCAGGAGACTGGTCTTGAACTCCTGACCTCGTGATCCGTCCACCTTGGCCTCCCAAAGTGCTGGGATTACAGGCGTGAGCCACTGTGCCCGGCCCACCCTCACCATGTTTTGACGGCTTTGTAGACTCCTTTTATTCTTTATTCTTCAGGTATAATCATTTCCCCATGTCATTAAGTAGTTTGAGATCATGATGGCCTTTCATTTTATTTCATTGGGTGTGTGTTCTGACTGACCTTTGTCCATGCCAAATCTGGTCCCAATAGATTTCATACTTTTCATTTTTGGCTCTTTGCTGCTCAGAACTGCTTATTGCAGTACCTGTGTAGTCTGTGTGACCTTCGTGATGGAAGACAGTGTCGCAATATCTATAGAAGCAGGCAGGTCATCAGACCTCTGCAGAGGCACCTGTAGGAAGCATCCCTGCATCTAGGACTTCTGGTACTCAATTACTCAGCCTCTCCTTCAGCCCTCTAGCCTCCTAGCGGACAGACAGATCAGGGACACTTACAAAAGGTCCCTTTGACATCCCCTTCCATACTCCATCTCTGCCTTAAGGTTGACTCTGTGTACAGGATTACACTTAGGCCACTGGGATTAAGTGGGGAGTGACCTTTCACTAGTATATTCTATCAGGTTTCCCCTGAGAACCAAGGCCTCGGGGCACTGAACCATCCAATGCTACTTTGTTTCCTTATTCAATCTTTGCAGATCTGAGTGTCACAAAAAAATGTGTGTAATGTTAACTCAGTTATTGGCTTCAAGTCATTACTGGTCCCAATCACCAAAAGAAAGAGGTTAATTGTATTCCTATTCACTTTCTAATATTCATTTTCCATAATGTCACTTTTTATATTTCTCTATCCTTTGGAGGTAAGGCCTCTTGCTTGGGTATTGACCACATTGCAGAGAATGAAGTGAGGGGAAAAAACAGCGACAACTGAAAAAGTGAGACTGCAAAGTAATACAAAAGAACTCCCTTCTACTCTTAGAAATGCCGTTCCTGTGTCCCTTTATGGAATCCTGTAAAGATGTACATGATTATGAATTATTACCCTACCCAAGTCATTTGTAGCATAAAAGAGGGCCTTTGAGATGATAAAACTAGCATAGATCAAGGAATAATTCTCATTCTTGTAGGAGTTAGAAAACTGCTGGGGCATTATTGTTGAGGGAGGTGGAGGGTTACTGATATTGTTCAAATGATACCCAGAAGGTTCCTGCCCATTCTACCTAACTTCAGAGCCACTAGACACAGAGCACAGAGAATATGCTGGACCTACTCAGTAATGTAAACTGCTTCCAGGCACTTTTCCAACCACTTCGGCAGAATCTGTGTTTAAAACCAAACAGCGAATATGCTTAACACAGTGTTCCTTCATACCCATCCAGGAAGGCCGGCTGTCAGCACCTTGAATTGGCCTTCATGATTAGCCCGGTTTTAGTTGTTTTAAGAGCCCTGTAAATCATAAAAACTTTATTTTATTAAGCAATTTGAATTTTCTCTCGGATTTCAAAAAGATTTTGACCTACTAGATGCCAAATTATAAATTAATGATGTTTCCACTCCTTCTGGGAATACAAATACTATCACACACATAACCAACAATAATATACCTCCACCTACCTCCACATAGAGCCCTATGAACCTCTGCTGATGAGTGGCAAAATTTCACCTATTTAAATGAAGACAGAAAAGCAATAAAGTAAAAACAAACAAACAAAAACCTCTTGTGATTTATTCCTCATTTGTATGTTCTGGAAAAATAACATGTATTGGAAATAAGGCAGAGAGGCTGGGCATGGTGGTTCATGCCTGAAATTCTAGCACTTTGGGAGGCCGAGGTGGGCAGATCATGAGGCCAGGAGATTGAAACCATCCTGGCGAAACTCGGTCTCTACTAAAAATACAAAAATTAACCGAGCGTGGCGACACATGCCTGTAGTCCCAGCTATTCAGGGAGCTGGGGCAGGAGAATCGTTTGAACCTGGGAGGCAGAGGTTGCAGTGAACTGAGATCGTGCCACTGGACTCCAGCCTGGGCAACAGAGCAAGACTCCATCTCAAAAAAAAAAAAAAAAAGGCTGAGTGTTGACTGAGTGCTGCCCTACAAGCCCACCCTACAATAATTTGCTTCTATTGGGATGTTGAACTTTTCCCAGAGACAGATGGAGTGGCAGAGACATGTTAGCACAGATTTCAAAGATTAGCATGCAGAGATATGTTGAAGACTAATGTTTTTTCTTTTTCTGCCTATTAATTTCAGGTCATTCATTAAACAAGTTTGTACCTAAATTAACATTACAGTTCTGCATTCCTTTCTCTACTACCTACCCAATTAAAGCAATATAAATGTAAATGCTCTTTCTTAAGAATCTAAGCCATTCTGCTAGTTCCTTGATAATGGGTTAAATAAAACTATGAGAGGTGTTCACCAACAAATGTGTGAGGTGTATGGCTTGTAACCACTTGGAGTATATGCTTTCAGTCAGTTTTTTGGAAACAAAGGAAGAAAAAGCACCCTATCTGACTATTCCTTACCTTATTTTGGCCAAATTCAGATTAAGGTTCATTTCCTAAGGGGCACAAAACTGACTTGTTTACAACATTAATCGTCTGGGATTGGTCACCGGTGGGATCTCCATTTGCAGGACACCACAGGACTCTGTGTCAACATCAGCCATAAGCATAGCAGGGAATATAGCTTTTGAACAAGATATGGACCCCATTTACAGAACCAGGGAGGGAAAAGTGCCATATTCATTGAGACCATTTCTTTTCAATAATGTCTGACATTTATTGAAAATAAGGAAAAGACTTTCTCCAGGTAGTGTATTAGAGCAGAGCAGAATGCAGGGGTTACTGTGTTGAACAAAAGGCACACATCAGAGAGACAGCTGCAAACTCAGAAAACTGGGTTATGGTCAAAACTAACTGGTCCACAAGAGAAAATTAGAGACTCGATTTGGCTGCCAGGCACACCTGGGCCTAGGCAGGAACACAAGAGGTCTTTGGGAGTGGGGAGGAAATAGGTCTCGCTGAAGGTGACAGATCCCTTGGGGTGCAGCCAGCGGTCTGGATCACTGTCCAGGGGCTGTGGCCAGCTCAGATACCTCCGAGGTGAGTCCAGATCACTGGGATGCGGTGGATGGCGATGGCAGTGGCAGCGCAGGTCTGTGGGCAGAATGATGTAGTCGTCTGGCAGTCTCGTGGGGTGGAGGAGGGTTGGCAGCGGCGGCTGTGGGTGGTCTAATCCAGTGTGTAACAGGAGCCCAGCTTGCAGCTGGAGAGCAGGACAGCGTCCAAATATGCATGGGTGGGGCTGGCCGGATGGAAGAAGAGGGCGGCGGCAGCTCGCTCCAAAGTGAGGCCCAGGGGCGGCGGCAGGAGCCTGGAGCGCTATTCCTGGAACAAAGGCAAGCACTACGCGGGAGGGGACAGGAGCGCAGGGGACATCGCGGCGGCTCGAGAGGGAGGGAGGCGAGGAGGGAGGGCACCGGTGGCGACCCTGGCGGCGGCCATTGGCACAGCGGACCCTCTCCAGAGCACCCGCCCCCAGGCCCGAGGGTCTCCAGGCCTAGAAGTCCTCGTCCTCCTCCCATCCAAAGACCCGCTTCATCTCGGCCAGGAAGCCCCGGTAATCATTGAGGAGGGGGCTCTCCTTCTTGATGTAGGGGATCACCCACTGCAGAGCGGGCCCCGTGAGGCGGGTGATGAGGAACGTCACCTTCAGGGCATCGCTGGAGAACGTGTTCTCGTCCACGAACATGTAGGAGCCCGTCTGCACGATGAACTCCGGGAGCCGGTCGGTATCGCCGTCAAACGTCTCGGGAAAGGGAATCGGATTCCTCCAGCGACGCGTCGCAGGCCGGATCGGCAAGGCCAGGAGGGCCTTTATCAGCTGCACCCGACCGTCCATCGCTGCTCTTCGCTTCGCTGGACGTCAATGGGCTCCACCCGGCTCTGCAGAGGTCAGTGCCGAGGCGTCGCCGGAAATGCGTGTCCACGAAGGCCGGCCCAAGCTAGAGTGGGCGGGGCCACAAGCGGAGCTCCAGTCCTCTCATGGACTCCGCCCACAAGGCCGAGTGGTCCCTAGTGCGCAGGCGCGTCGTGGGGCAAACACTGGCGAAGAGGGGCCTAAAGCCATCAAGGAAGCGGGGTCGTATCGGACTTGATGGGCGGAGGTTTCCTAAGTTGGCCGGACCGGGAGCAGGGGAAGAACCAGGGAAACTTGGTGGTGTACCGGGCGCGGGGAGCTGGCTCCGAGAAGCTGTTAGGAGCCCCACCTAGTTCTGGTAGTTGAGGAGTCCTGCCGCTGCACTCGTCCCCACCTCTCATCAGCCTTTGGGTATGCTTTCAGGGACCCTTGGCCCTGGACGCCACTAGTATGAGATTCTGTGAGCACATTTTCCTGCTGCTTCTTGCGTCTCTCAACCAGATTATTGGCTCCCTACTTTGCGACATTATTATAATAGAGAAGCCCCACATATTAGCAAATATAATCTAAAGCAGCATATTCAAAGAGGAATGCACCACGCTTGAGGGGATGGATACCCCATTCTCCATTATGTCATTATTAATATCTAGTATTTGATAGCGCAAAAGGATGACTACAGTCAAAATAATTTAGTTTTACATTTTAAAATAACTAAGAGTATAATTGGATTGTTTGTAGAACAAAGGATAAATGCATGAGGGGATAGATGCCCCATTTACCATGATGTGATTATTATGCATTGCGTGCCTGTATTAAAGCATTTCATGTACCCCATAAATACATATACCTATTATGTACCCACAAAAATTATAAATAATTTTCTAAAAAGAATAATAAATCCACAAGCAGTTAATGTAAGGAGGGTTAAATATTAAGAAATACCTTAATTTGTTATAAAATCTGCCCTCTATTCTCTGCCACATTGTGCTGTGCATAGGCAGTTCACAACACTTCAGCTTGCTTCTTCATGGAACAAAGGGAGAAAGTGTCTCCTTGAAAGTTGGAATCATGTATAAACTAACATAATCATGGGAGTTATATCTCATCACCTTTGCCACATTCTATTGGTTAGAAGCAAGCCATAGTCACAACCTGCACCAAAAGATATGACCAGGACATTGGGATGCTGGGGGCCACCTTAGAATCTGTCTGCCACAGCATGGATATACAAATTTGGTGATCCGTTCATTTGTTGGAGGATATTTGGAACATTTACAGGTTTTGGAAATTACAGAAGAATCAGCTATAAACATTTATGTACAGATTTTTGTGTGAGCCCAGGTTTTCATTTTTCTAGAGTAAATTCCTAGAGCAAAGATTTGTGTCATATGGTTCCTAATAAAAACTCTCATCAAACTTAGAAGGGCACTCCTAAATCTGATGAAAAGCATCTACAGAAAACCTACAGCTATCATACTCAAAGGTGAAAGCCTGAATGCTTTTCACTCTTAGACCAAGAACAAGACACATAGAGGGGAACAACACACACTGAGGCCTATCAGAGGGTACAGGGTGGAGGAGGCAGAGGGTCAGGAACTATAACTAATGGGTAATAAGCTTAATACCTGGGTGATGAAATAATCTATACAACAAACCCCCATGACACAAGTTTACCTGTGTAACAAACCTGCACTTGTATCCCTGAACTTAAAAGTTTAAAAAGATGAACAAAACAAGTACATATGCCCACTTTCATCACTTTAGTGCAATATTGTACTGGAGATTCTAGACAGTGCAATGAGGGCAAAAAAAAATAAGGAAAGGAAAAAGTAATAAAAGGCATCTAGATTGGACAGGGCAAAGGCAAACTTTTGTTATTCTTAAACAACAGATCATCTATATAGAAAGCAGGTTTTCTAAGATCAAAACATGCTAGAACTAAGAAGCGAGTTTAGCAAGGTTGCAGGACACAGGTGAATATACAAAAATCAACTGTATTCCTAGTAACAAACGAGAAATTTGAACTAGAATTTTAAACACCATAAAAATGTAAAAAATGTTAGGGTTAAATATGACAAAAGAGATGAGACTTGTACCCTGAAAATTACAGAACATTCCTAACATATATTATAACATCTGAGTAAAGGAGAGATATACTCATGGGCTGAAAGATTTAATAATGTTAGTATATCAATTCTTCCAAAATTTATCTATAGATCCAAAGTTCCAGTGAGTGTTTTCACATATAAAAAACCACTAATTGCTTCTAAAATTCGTAGGGAAATGCAAAAAAAAAAAAAAATATGCAATAGCAAAACAACCTGGAAATTAAAAAAAAAGTTGGAGGACTAATAATACTTGACTTCAAGATTTATAATAAAGCTACAGTAATTAAGACAATTTGATATTGTTATCAAAATAGAGAAATACAGTTGTTTCTTTGTATTTACAAGGGATTGGTTCCAGGACCCCTGCAGATACCAATCCCTTATATAAAATGGTATAATGTTTGCATATAACCTATGTATATCCTCCTATATACTTTAAATTATATCTAGATTACTTATAATACCTAATATGATATAAATGCTATATAAATAGTTGTTACATCATATTTTAATTGTAACCTTTTTCTAATTTTTACTTTTATTTCAATAGTTTTTGGGGTAAAGGTGGCTTTTTGTTACATGGATAAGTTCCTTGGTGGTGATTTCTGAGATTTTAGTGCACCTGTCACCCAAACAGTGTACACTGTACCCAATATGTAGTCTTTTATCCTTCACTCCCCTCCCATCCTTACCCCCGGGTCCCCAAATCCATTATATTAATCTTATGCCTTTGCATCCTCGTAGTTCAGCTTGACTTATAAGTGACAACATAAAATACTTCGTTTTCCATTCCTGAGTTAACTTCACTTAGAATAAAAAAACATCATTTCATTCATTTTTATGGCTGAGTAATAGCACATGTTGTATACATACCACATTTTTTTAATCCACTCGTTCATTGATGGGCACTTAGGTTGGCTCCATATCATTGTAATTGTTAATTGTGCTGCTATAAAACATGCATGTGCATGTGTCTTTTTCATAGAGTGACTCATTTTCCTCTGTTTAGATACCAAGTAGTGGGATTGCTGGATTAAATGGTAGTTCTACTTCTTTAACGAATCTCCATACTGTTTTCCACACTGGTTGTACTAATTTACATTCCCACCAGCAGTGTAAAACTGTTCCCTTTTCCCCAGATCCATGCCAATATTTATTGTTTCTGGACTTTTAAATTATGGCCATTCTTGCAGGAGTAAGGTGGTATCTCATTGTGGGGTTTAATTTGCAGTTTTCTGATGATTAGTGATGTTGAGCTTATTTTCATGTTTGCTGGCTGTTTGTGTATCTTCTTTTGAGCAATGTCTATTCATGTGCTTCACCCACTTTTTGATGGGATTGTTTTTTCTTGCTGATTTTTTTTAGTTTCTTATAGATTCTGGATATTAGTCCTTTGTTGAGTGCATAGTTTGTAAACATTTTCTCCCATTCTATGGGTTGTCTGTCTACTTTGCTGATTATTTCTTTTGCTGTACAGAAGATTTTCATTTAAATAGATCCCATTTATTTATTTTTATTTTTGTTTCACTTGCTTTTGAGGTCTTAGTCATGAATTTTTGCCTAAGCCAATGTCTAGAAGAGTTTGTATGATGTTATCTTCTACAGTTTTTATAGTTTCAGGTCTAAGGTATATGTCTTTGCTCCATCTTGAGTTTATTTTTTTAATAAGTTGAGGGATGGGGATACAGTTTCATTCTTCTACATGTGACTTGGCAGTTTTCCAAGCACCGTTTACTGATAGAGTGTCCTTTCCCAAAATTATGTTTTTGTTTGCTTTTTTAAAGACATGTTGGGGCCAGGCGCGGTGGCTCAAGCCTGTAATCCCAGCACTTTGGGAGGCCGAGGCGGGTGGATCACGAGGTCAAGAGATCGAGACCATCCTGGTCGACATGGTGAAACCCCGTCTCTACTGAAAATACAAAAAATTAGCTGGGCATGGTGGCGCGTGCCTGTAATCCCAGCTACTCAGGAGGCTGAGGCAGGAGAATTGCCTGAACCCAGGAGGCGGAGGTTGCGGTGAGCCGAGATCGCACCATTGCACTCCAGCCTGGGTAACGAGAGCGAAACGCCATCTCAAAAAAAAAAAAAAGACATGTTGATTGTAAGTGTTTGGCTTTATTTCTAGGTTCTCTATTCTGTTCCATAGGTCTACATGCCTATTTTTATACCACTACCATGCTGTCTTAGTAACTATAGTCTTGTAATATAAATTGAAGTCAGTAAATGCGATGCCTCCAGATTTGTTATTTTTGCTTAGTATTACTTTTGCTATGTGGGCTCTTTTTTTTCGTTCCATTTGAATTTTAAGATTTTTTTTCTACTTCTGTGAAGAATGATGATGGTATTTTGATGAGAATTGCATTGAATCTGTAGATTGCTTGGGTCGGTATGTTTATTTTCACAATATTGATTCTTCACATCCATGAGCATGGGTGTGTTTCCATTTGTATTATGTATGATTTCTTTCAGCAGTGTTTTGTAGTTTTCCTCATAGAGATCTTTCACCTCTTTCATTAAGTATTTTTATTAAAGCAGTTATAAAAGGGATTGGGTTTTTTATTTGATTCTCAGCTTGGTCATTACTGATGTATAGTAGCAAAAATCCTCAACAGAATACTACCTAACTGAATACAACAGATATCAAAAAGATAATACATTATGATCAAGTGGGTTTTATACCAGGGAAGCAAGGTTGGTTTAATATATGCAAATAAATAAATGTGCTACATTTATTGGAAGTCAAACTGTTGTTATTCACCAATGATATGATTCTATGCCTAGAAAACCCTAAAGACTCATGCAAAAATCTCATAGATCTGATAAACGAATTCAGTATAGTCGCAGGATACAAAATCAATGTATATAAATTAGTCTTTTTTTTTCCAGAATATTTTGAGCTGGCGTTGGTTGAATCGGCAGATGCAGAACCCATAGATATAGAGGGACAAGTGTAGAAGAATAGGACTGGATATCCAG